TAAAATAACAACCAACTAACTGCACCGTACGACGCCGCTCTGACGCCCCTCTTCAAACCACATTTTCGGCTACGCCTAAAATAAGATTTCTAGAATTAATCTTTCCAACACCGGAATTGGTGATACGGTTTGGTGTTACCCCGTCCACTTTTTCCCATTGCCACCGAATTGGTGAAAGCCGCCAACCGGACTGCCCCCCGTTCACTGTGGGCCCTCCGAGGCGCCCCAGGCCCACATCAACCAATCTGCAGTCGCATGTAAACGTTTCTAGATGCACGCCGTCGCATACAGCATCGCGCGCGCGCAGCAAAGTGACCCTTAAACGGCGGTCCGGCACCCGACCTGGATCCAAAACGTACAGGGATTGGTGATGGCCGCCGCTCAATCCCAGCCCGGATTATCCTTTGCTACTGGATTGGTGATTTTCACCAATCCGGTGTCACCAATCGGCCATAGCGATACGGTACCACCCTGTAACAACATCATACACAGCTTGGGGATGGTAATTATCTTATCTCGACACCAACCCTTAAACCCCAAAACCCAAAAACCCTAAAACCCTAACTCTCCCTGATAGCGTACCTATAATACTCGGCCGGGGTTCCCTCCAGGCCCGGGGACTTATTGTTGCGCATAGCCTTGAGACCACGAACAATTTCGGCCTCCGTAAAGTCCTTGTTGAGCCACGCAGCTAATTCCACCGGTGCATCACCCGGTCCTCGTCCTGCGGCAGGAATCCTGCCATTTAAACTGGATACCTTCATTGCAGTGTTGCTCGCGTCTCCCGCACCTTTAAGCACCTTGGAAAAATGCTCGGTAAAGCCATTAATATCTGAGATCCCGCAAGGAGGCGGTTTTCCCCCACGCAGCCATGTCCACAAGCCGCGTGGGTTAGACCGGGCGTCCTTAATCCTCCTCCGAATATTTTCCAATTCAATCTCCTGAATAGCGGCCTTTCTGGCCTTCTTAAAGGCACGGTGCTTGGCCTTCCAGGTAGCCCTATGTATGGCCGGCAGCTTGCCCGAGACGGGGTCCCTGATCTCCATACGGAAACTCATCATATCATTCCACGCAGCTGCACAGTCCTCATTCCACCAGTCACGCTTCACATAATTCACCTTCCCCCGTGCAACGCCGGACGTCTCCCTAGCATACGTCCCGATTAGGGTGCGCAAGTCATTCATGCTTTCATCACAAGGGGCCCCTTCGCCAAGCTTCTCCTTGAGCGAGTTGATGGTCGCTGTAATAATGCCATCTGGGTCACGAAAAAGGTCAGTGAAGCGGCCTTTGCGTGAAATATCAAAAATAGGGATGTGTTCACGTGCCAGGTGAGGCTTCCGACCCCTGGCCTCAATAGGCATGCAGCCGAAGGATAAGCGGGTGATGATCACTCAGCACATTGGATTCACCCCATAAGTAAGATCTGAGGACTTTAAGGGTGTCTATCTGCTCGAAGAGCCCATAAGATGCAAGGCACAGATCAATTGAACTGTGACCCTTAGTTCAGTTGAGGTCGGGCACATCAACAGGTGCACGCCCATTGACAATGGCTAGGCCTGTGTCAAGACACATTTGTGCCAACCGGAGGCCAAAACGATTAACTCCGTTATCTCTACTTTTACGGGGAACGCCGCCAAGGGAGTGTGCCCCTACTCCATTTACTTCGGGCAAGTCTAGAATAGCTGCCGCACGGGCATTAAAATCACCTGTGATAAGCACCTCATCGCCCACGCACTGCAGTCTATCTAGCTTGCCAGTAATGCTTTTAAAAGCAGCGAAAGCGAAAGTGACCTCACTATATGCCAGGCCACTCCCATCCGTGCTGCTATAAACGCTGGACCCCTGGGGCGAGCAGTAACCAGCCCCAAGTAGAAGCGCCCGACCCCCTGGGAGAACGCTAGGGAACCGCAACCAGACAATTTCCAACCCAACAGGTGCATTCGTTAGGCCCACTTCTCTCACACAGGGGGCCAGCTCATAACGCACAAACACTGAGACCCCGCCTGACCTTCGAGAGCCTGTGCGCGGTGCCCTAGTGCATGCGAAATGGCTATAGCCCTGTAATACTCGTTGTTCCTTTGCGCGCTTCCGATTAACGGGCGCCTTCAAGGACGATTACATCATGGTTAAGGAACCCACGAATGGCCGTAATCTGGTAGAGCTTGCCTGCCGAGAAGGCATGGACGTTCCAAATAAGGAAGCGGATGCTATTACCTCCCCCCCCCCCGTGCTCCCTAGTTAGCCGTCTGCCTCAGCTCTGTGGCCATTTTGCGAACGTCTACCTTCGCCCAGACGCCACTGTCTGGCTCGGTGAGCGCCATAAGGTGGGTACCTCGCCATGAAGGGGCTCTCTTACTACCAAGTGCCGAAACACGTCCTGTTGCCCTTTTTGCGTGTTTCGCCAAGTGCTGTAAGCGCCAGTGTCACCCGCACGGCCGGGAACGACTCGTCCACCCCTTCCTCCGCATCCAGGCCCAGCTGCTTCCGTAATGTGTACAGGGCATGATATGCCGCTGGGGTTGTCGTGATGCGAACCCGCTGGGTTGTCCGCTTGCTGCTGCGTGCAGCGACGTTCGGGTGTGCCTCAACGGTGCAATCTTCGGACGCGACCCTCATGTCCATAAGCTGCCGTAGACGCAGTTGCAGTTTCTGGATCACTTCGTCCTGCGTCCAAGCAGCTGGCAGTCCGTCGGTGACCAGTGCACCCCGGTCCATATGTCCATCGGTGCTGCTGGTAGTCTCAGCCAGCGCTTGGGGGGGTCTGGGAGCGCAATTGGGTCAGCGCAAGACAGGGTAGCGCCTTTCAGAAGCAGCAGCACTGGGCCGTAGTTGGACAGCGTGTTACAGCGTGGTTGGCTAGGGGCATGGCCCACTCACTGAGCATGCTGAGCGTGCACTGGTGAACTCTGTGCTAAATTCGGGGTACTAATTTCTTGAGTTTAGGAAGTTGGCAGGATGCGTAGGATGAGTAGGTTATTATGTTCTTTGGTTTGGGGACCCAATAGGGCGCTGAGCACGGTGGAGCAAGCTGAGCCTGTAGTGTAGCAGCTGGCTGCTGAAAAGGCCTCTCGAGATGCTGGTGAAGCGTTTCGCTCGTATTAGTAGTTCTTCAAGGTGCCATACTGTGTACCAACTACTGCAACTAGCCTGAGCATGCTCACTACCGGTGCACCGGCAAATTCGATGCCTCCATGCACCCTGCTTCATGCACTGATGACCCTTTAGGATTCACCTTAACACATTTCATTCATAATGGCATGCATGTGCGCTGCGAGTCGTGCCATAATTATTTATTTGTCGTTCTACGTTTCCCTTTGTGTGTGCAGGCAAGCAGGCCCTGGCTGGGCCTTAACTCTATTTATTGATGCTGGCTAGCGCCGCTGGGCTAGCACTGTGTTAGAGATAAGAGTCCTTCAGTGAACACATCACTCGCTCATATCGTTACACAAGGAGAGAGAGAGAATGGATACGCAAGCAGTATATAAGCATACCGTAGCCAATCCTGATTCGATGTCGTATTGGGATAACGGCAACTAATCAAACTACCGAAGTGTCAAGCCTGAGTGTACCTAAGGACACTTCCCAACACTCCCACGCGCTCAGGACTTGCACACGTTCATCGCCATACGATGCTTCACAAACTTCTCAGTTGGTAAAGGCTTAGTTAGACAATCAGCTACCATATCTTCCGACCTGCAATCTACCATCACAAGCGTACCGAGCGCTACCTGCTCCCGTACAAAATGATAACGCACAGAGATGTGCTTCGATTGCTTCGAAACAACCGGATTGCTCGCCAACCGAATTGCGCTCTGACTATCGCAATTGATCTGCGTTGGCTTGAGGTCGTAGCCGAGATCGCCAAGTAGTTGTCGCAACCATAAGGCCTCCTTAGCAGCTTCCGAAACAGCCATATACTCAGCCTCCATAGTGGACGCAGCCACGCTCCGCTGAAGTTTACTAGCCCAACTAACTGTACCACCATGAAGAGTAAAGACGTAACCAGACGTTGACCGCCGCGAGTCAGCACAACCCGCATAGTCAGCATCACTATACCCAACCAACCTCTCATCTGCTCGTTCACCACCTAGGACTAATCCGTAATCGGACGTTCCTGCCAAATAGCGTACTACCTCCTTCGCCGCTTTCCAGTCCGACCTGCTAGGATTCGACATGTGACGCGCCAAAATTCCCACGGCTTGTGCAATGTCGGGACGAGTACATCCAGACACGTACAACAAACTGCCAATTAACTGGCTATACGGGAAACGCTCTCGATCCAGCCGATCTTCCACTGCAGCATTAGGTAAGACGGTTCCAGGACTCATAGGTACAGACTTCGGCCGTGCATTAACCATGCCATAAAGACCCACAATGTCCTTAACCATACGCCCTTGAGAAACGGTAATTACCCTGTTCGCTCGATCGCGCTTAAGGGTAAGACCCAAAAATAAACTTGCCTCTCCTAAGTCGCGGCACTCAAACCGCCGCATGATAGCCGCCTTTACTTCTGAAACGGCTCTCTCGCTCCAAGACGCAATCAAAACGTCGTCTACATAAACCAAAAGATACACAACCTCGCCTTGTTTACGGCGAACAAATAAACTAGGGTCCGCACTCGACGCGACAAAGCCCATCGACACTAATTCTTCACATAACGTGTCATACCATGCACGCGACGCTTGACGAAGGCCATACAAGGCCTTATGGAGAAGACAAACTATCCCCGGGCCTCCCTCTTCAAAACCGGGGGGTTGTTTGACATAAATTTCCTCCTCCAAATCGCCATTCAAGAACGCTGTTTTCACATCTAATTGGTGCAATTCCATGTCTGCGCCAGCTACCATGGACAAAAAGGTGCGCAAGGTAGTGTGACGACTCACCGGCGCAAAAACCTCCTGAAAATCCACACCCTCGCGTTGCATGAAACCCTTCACTACTAGGCGTGCCTTGAACCGTTCAATGGCACCATGCTTGTCACGCTTCAATGAGAAAACCCACTTAACGTCAAGAGATCTGTTGTCCTTGGGCTTCGGCACTAAGGACCAAGTACCCTTCGCACGCAAAGACTCAAGCTCTTCAAGCATTGCAGCACGCCAAAACTCAGCATAGGGAGATGCTATTGCTTCCTCGTAAGATTCCGGAATATCGACATCATCATCCGACTCTTCCTCCATCTCTACACGGAAAGCAAAACGTTTAGGTGGAACTCCGGCATTGGAACGCTTTTCCCTACCAAGAGCTAACGGCAAATTATTATTCGTATTGGACGGTCCTAGATTTGACGGCCCTGCGTTAACCAATCCATCACTGGCCTCCTCATCCACTTCACCGTCATCATCACTATCAGACTCGGACCAATCCGACGCCTCATCGTCATCAATCAACGGCCCCGGCTCGTCATCCGACCCCTCGTCGCCAGCCGGCCCGCCTACAGGATTCATCTCGATCTCGACCAAGGGCGCCCTCCTGGGGCCCTCATCATCAGTACCGGAAGAGAGCGACTCCTCTATCGAATCGAGCAAATACGCGACACTATACATGATTCCCTCATCGAAAACCACATCTACACTAACACGAATCCGCCCTTCTGCTGGGATCCATACGCGCCACGCACTAAATTTAGGTTCATACCCAACTAGGATACCCTTGACGCAGACCGGGTCAACCTGATGGATCGCGCGGACCCTTCGCTAACTTGGAGTGGCAGAAGGTTACACCGGTACCTCCAGGAACGCCACTGCCAGTCAAGCTTACAGTCAACGGCATTGACTCCGTGACACAGTGTCCCGTCACCAACCTGACAGTTGTGCTGCCAGGCCAGCCGAAGGCGCCGTTTGAACCGTCGTGGGTGCAGACGCCCAACACAACATGCTCTTATGTGTACTCAATTTGTCGCACACCGTCACTCTCAATATTGAGCGGGATTACGTTGAGTGGTATCATGCAGCCCACCTTCAACAGCACCAACACAACCTTGAGCATCTTTGGCGATTTCCTGACGGACCCAAGCCTACCCGCCGCGTCCCAGATCAGCGTCACTCTGGCCAACCAGCTGTGCAGCATTGTTGGTGTCGCACCGGTGACGGTCAACGGCACCAACACAACCAATATCAACTGCACGGCGCCCGCCTTGCCGGCTGGGCAGTGGCCTGTTAGCATTATGGTTGAGGGCCTGGGTCTTACACGCCCCACAGCGACAGCTGCGACGGACTTGCCAATCGTGACCTATACGGTCAGGGTTCTTAATTACACCTTCAACAACCCCAACTCCAAGTGCTATTTCTCCCTGTTTGGTGGCGGCACCTTCAACATCACCGGGTATGGGTTTGTGAAGGACTTGGTCGATACGACACTTCAAGTCAACATGACGGCTGCTTGGGAAACCGTCTTTTGTGGCTCAGGATTTTCGAACTCGCCACCGTGCCAGGCTGTCAACTCGTCACGCCTGAATCTTGTGCCGCTGGCAAGCGACGGCTTCACTGCATCATTTGGGCTGACACGCTTCAAGGTGCCTAATCCTGAAGCCTTTGCCGGTAACAACAGTATCAGCGGAGTCAACTTGCGGTATAAGCCGCGGGTATATTACACGAGCAACGGCACATACGCTGCGACTGCGGGCGCTGAGCTCCTCTACTTTTGTGGTGGCCGCACGCCCGCCCTGTCTGGCGTGACGCCGTTATCTGCACCACCCGACGCTGGTGCAACCCTGTCGCTGACCTGGTACTTATCGGGAGTTGGCACGCTAAACAACACTATCACGGCACCGGCTGCCAAGAACGGCGCCAGCAATGCCACGGTTGAGTTTGAGGTCGGGCCGACGGTGCTGCCCTGCCGCAACCCAGTTGTCACGGATTTCAACATCACCAGCACCACCTATCGCGAGGCGATTTCCTGCACCATGCCTGCTTACATGCCGGCCGCGACGTATACGCTATGGCTGTGCATCCAGCCTTTTGGCTGCGGTCTTTTGCCTGCTTACACTGTACCCCTGACCATCACTGCTATGTCTGCAACTACTGGCGGGAGTGCTGGTGGTATTACCGTGGTCATTACCGGCAAGGGGTTCGATACCAACACCACGCTTGTATCGGTGCGCTTTGGCAACAGCACATGCAAGGTCATCAGCAGCACCGCTACATCGCTGACCTGCGTTACCGGTCCCCTGGACACCAAGCCAGTGAGCCCAGTGACGTGGCCCTTGTCAATTACGCCCACTGCCGGCACCAACGAGACCACCCTGTCGAGCTTCACTTTCACTTTTGACCCAGCCCTAGAGTCGACAGTGAGCGGCATTGTCCCGGCGCGCGGCTCCACTGAAGGTGGCACACCCGTCACTATTACGGGCGCAGACTTCCGTACCGGCGTGAGCACCACTGTCAGCATTGGCGATGTCGCTTGCCAGTCGGTTGTGGTCGTCAACAGCACCGCCATCACCTGCACTACCGGTAAGCCGCCCAACAGCATCCTTCGAGTTCCGCTGCCGGTGACGGTGCTGCAGCAGGGCCGTGGCTATGCACGCAGCTCGGCTCAGTACCAGTACATCGACGTGTGGAGCCGCAACAGCACGTGGGGTGGTGGACCCCTGCCCGGCTACGAGGACTCGGTCGTAATTCCAGCTGGCGTGACGGTCCTCCTGGATATCAGCCCGCCGAAACTTTTCATCATTGTCTTGGAAGGCAACCTGGTTTTCGATGATACCAAGGACTACATTAACCTGCAGGCTCACTACATCATTGTTAAAGGGGGCAATTTCACCATTGGTAGCGCAGAGAAGCCCTACCCCGGCCGCGCCAACATTACCATGCATGGGGCCCCAAATAGCAGGGATCTTCCGATGTATGGCGCCAAGGCACTGGCCGTGCGGCAAGGCGTCGTCACCTTCTTCGGGCAGCCCAAGATCCCGCATTATACCAAGCTGAACCGGACGGCGGATCCAGGGGACACCAGCATTGTCGTCAACGGAGCAATTAATTGGCAGGTACGACTAAGGGGGGCTGAAATAATTGCAATTCTCCAATTCTTACACCATAATTGTAATGGTAAGGAATCTGTCCTCAGTATTGAGCAGTACGTAGTCACATTGCTTTGCTCTATGTGGGGCTTTCTGAATATCAGGCGTTATGCTTGCGCTATGGCTTGATGTACATATGCCAATCCCTCATGAAATTCAGGTTGGCGACCGCATCGTCATCGCCAGCAGCAGCTTCTACGGGAGTGAGGTGGATGAGGCAACCATCACAGCGCTCGACAACAGGACCGTATCTGGCTGTACCGTCATTACGCTAGACACGCCACTTCAATACGTGCACTTGGGAGAGCTGCACAGCGTGCAGGGAACTAAACCCCTGGACATGCGCGCTGAGGTGGCCGTGCTCACACGTAACATTTTGCTGCAGGGTGATTACACCAGCGCCAAGAATATGTATGGCGTGCAGGTCATGGTTAATTCGCCCAAATACCTGCCCCGCGCACTTGTTCGCTTTGACAACATCGAGATCACCCAGTCTGGCCAGGCGTTCCGCCTGGGACGCTACTCCATGCACTGGCACATGCACGGCGATGTCGCGTATCAGTCATGGTTGCGCGGCTGCGCTATCCACCACACATACAACCGTGCCACCACTATCCACGGCACACATCGCGCAATCCTGCAAAATAATGTGGCCTACAACACCATGGGTCACACCTTCTTCCTGGAGGTGAGCTGTGGCCTGGTTAGTTGTCAGGGGATAGGATTCTTCTTTCTATTATTGCCTTGAATGGTTTTTTGTGCTTTGCGCTTTTTTTTGCTGTGGCCGGAGTTTTGGTTAGTGAAACGGAGGACGCTATGTACTGCAGGACGGTATTGAGTCTGGCAACCTCATTGAAGGCAACCTGGCCATTCATGTCAAAGTATCAGACGCGCTGCTCAACACCGATACCACCCCAGCCGCTTTCTGGATTACCAATCCAAACAACACAGTGCGCAACAACGTGGCTGCTGGTTCGGCGGCTTATGGGTATTGGTATCGCATGCTGGTAAGCCCACAGCGTTCACATGCATTTGCCGGAGACCTTTCTTGGCTTTCCAGCAAGGGGTAGCCCAGTTTTGCATTGTCATAAATGTTGCTTCTACTGATACCATTATTATTTGCATCTCCGCAAGTTCTCCTAATCACGGAATCCGTTATTTGCTACTGTTCATTTTACAGGATAATCCCGAGGGCCCGTCATACACGACGACCATCTGCCCCAAGTTTACACCCCTCCTAGAGTTCACCAACAACACCGCCCACTCGAGCATGTTTTACGGACTGCGTATCCATCCAGAGTTCTACCCCCGTAACATCCCGTGCAACGGGTTTTCTGGAACGTTTGAGCAAGTGCCTGCGGTGTTCAACGGCCTGGTGGCCTATAAGAACGGCATGAAGGGCGCCGTCGGCACTCAGGTACGCTGCTCAATCCAGGATTGGTGGCTCCCTATGTCGTTTTTTGCCATGGACGGCATTGGCATGCATTTTTATTATTTGCATCCATAACTGCTAAATAAGGAGCGACGAGGTGTTCCTTATGCCTGCACGCACTCATACAGGTTGGCTTGGTGCAGCTTGTCAACGTGATAACAGGCGATAACGGTGGTGGGCCCAAGCAGCACGTTGTCAACGGCAAGGACCATGGTGGCGATCTTGAATTGTCATGGGTGGTCGACGACCGCAGCCGTGTGGGGTTACAGATCACAGAGATGGCCGGTATCGTGAATGCTACCATTTACGCGCGCACCAGTGTTGGAAAGCGCGGTAATGCTGGTCAGTGGCCCTCATGCCGCCGTGTGGCGGGTATCATTACACAGAGTCCCGTCCTAGGCGACTCGAAGCACTCTGCATTAATGAGCCTAATCAACGTAACATTTGTGGACTTCAAGGGCTGGGATGACTGCACGCTATTCTCCATGTTGGAGGCATGCGGCAAGTGCAAGACCTTCCAGGGCGGCTCTACCACATTCACAGCCAACATCTCTATCATCACATCAGACAACAGCAGCTCCATGATGTCATACTGGAGCTGGGGCCACCAGGGCGTCTACCTTGACACAGACGGCACGTTACTGAACAACAAGTCGCTGCCCGCTTCGCTCTTGCCTAATGTGGGCACCAACGTAACTCTTGGCCCCGGGGCTACCTGGCATTCGTCGGTCGAAAGCGAGCTGTTTGATCCCAACGAATGCAAGTATGTGCGGAACACACGCACAAGCAACAACGGAGCATATTGCAGCCCCGGCTTGTCGTTCCGCCGCGTGATGCTTCACGGCCACACCCCCGAGGTATGTTGAATGGAAGCACCGCACAACAGGTGCGCTCAATGTGCAGGTTAGGTTGCACCCTGACAATATAATTTTCCCGCGGGAGCCTGTCGTCACACCTTCCTATGTGCATGCGTTGGAGCTCAACCTGGACGAGGGAAGCTTGCCTCATCACCTTTTCCTGCCTTCAACCCACCTTGCACTTTCCGCCGCCTGCACGCAGTCCATCATGTTCAAGGACCTCATCCTTACTTCGTTGGCCACCAATCGCACATCTCTTGTGCACTTCACCAAGTATAACGAGAACGGTTACCAGTTCACTGTCGCCACTACCCGCGACTATTGGGTGCAATGGGACATGCCTTTCCGTTTCGACCCCGACACATACCAGTAAGCAGGGCAGGGTGAAAGGAAGCCCGGCATGGTAGATTGGGTTGGGCTCTGTGGATTATGTGCTGTGTCAGTACGTTGCTTAGACCTTTTGGGGACAGGTTGCTGAGTCACCTGCTGGGAGTTGTACATGGGGTAACCCGGGTGAAACCCTCCCTTCCATTGAACCTCGAACCATGTTTCCATGGCCATCTTAAGTCTCGTTGGGTACTGCACGTGAGGTATCGTACGTGAACATCTTCCATCGGCGTAACTAATTTTTTACGTGGGGTAACATACCTGAAAACCTTCCTACATCAAACTGAGATTTCATGAGGGTATCGTACGTGAACATCTTCCATCGGCATAACTAACTGGTTACCCTCCAACCCGATGACCACCTTTCTCCAGGCTGCACAAGATGGACTTGATGAACACGAGTGACTACGTGTACATTACCACAAAGCACATTCAGGTCAAGGACCACTTCACAATCAATAACAACGACCAGTGGAACAACTTGACCGCGATGCCGCCTCCCACCAACTCAACCCACGGCATGTTCTACTACAACAAAACCAAGGCGCCTAATTCCTGGTGGTGGAGTAACCGCACCTATAACGACACCAAGTTTACAGTCTTTTTAGATGGGCGCCTCGACACCACCCTCGACATGAAGGCATTCACCTGCCCTAACACAGGCTGCAGCAATGTACCCGATGCCGTTGTGGACATCCGCGACGGCACATTGTACTGGTCTAACACGAGCACCTGGAACACGAGCGCCGTGAACAACTTCCGCAAACCAGTAGCTGGCGACAATGTGACCATTCCGTACGGCTGGGACCTGGTCATTGACGAGTCACCACCGCCGCTGCTGGCGCTGACCGTTCAGGGCAATTTACGCTTTGACACCACGCGGGACATCAACCTGACCGCTACCTATATTATTGTCATGGGCCAGGGTGTGCTGAGCGCTGGCAGCGCCACGGAGCCGCACCCCGCCAAGGCCACTATTCGGCTGAACGGTGCTCGCGACACACCCGATTATGGCATTGATAATAACCTTAACTTGGGCTCCAAGGTGCTGGCAGCTCTTTCAGGAGGCACAATCAACCTGTACGGCAAACCGGTAGGTGCATGATAGTCACATTGGTTCGTTGGCTGAACAAGAGCCGCCATCCACCTGCTGCATTGTTTGGGGCTTTTCCAGCTGATATCCGGCTTACCGCTTCTTCCCTTAGTGCGTGTCATAACCTTGTGTGCTCTGTGGATGCAGGCCCGTAAGCGCTGGATCAAGTTAGGATCCGCGGCACAGATTGGCAACAATGCCATTAATGTATCGGACCCCAACCACGGCTGGAGTGTCGGTGATAAGATCCTGATTACCTCCACCTCGTTTAACTGGAATCAAAGCGAGTTCCGCATCATCACTGGGATCCGCAACAACGGCTCCCAGCTGCTGCTGGACTCGCCGCTGGCCCACCCCCATGGGGCGCGGGTCAAAGCTTATCCCGGCGGCCCCACCGTGGATATGCGCGCGGAGGTTGGCCTGGTCTCTTCCAACGTCCTCATTACTGCGGATGATGGCGAGAGTACCCACTCGTATGATGGAGAAATGTTCGGTGCACGCGTAGTGGTTTCGGGCAACTCCACAGGCCGCTTTGACAGTATGGGTATGGCTTATTGCGGCCAGGCTGGCTTTGACGATCGCGCGTGCATATACTTTGACCGCATGGCGCCAGTTACAGTGCTGCGTACGGACAATGTCACCAACATGACAACGCTATCCGCAATTCCAAATCCATCATTTGTTAAAGGCAGCGTGCTGCTGTATGGTATGGCCTCGAACGTGCTCATTAATGGCAAGCCCTCAGTTGCGAACCCAGTCACCCTGGCCGACAACATCATGTACGAGGCGTATGACACACACAGCGTGGATGTGTATACGACGTAAGTAGTGTTTGGCTGTAGGAGGGGCCAGGGTCCGATACCCCAATTCTCCAAAAGTTCCAAATGATGAGGGGAGGCCGGGGATATGCTTTGGTATGCTGGTTGGCTGGGAAAGGAATAGTAGAAGCATGACTACATGCCCTGCTTCCCTTGCATTACAGGGGCAACATAATCCGTGGCAACTTGGTAATCGGCACAATCAAGGATATGACGGGCAAGAGTCACTTTGATATTATGATGCCATCGTCATTCAGCATCTTATACGCATCTAACTGGGTCACTGACAACGTGGCAGCTGGTTCGGAACGCTACGGCTTTGCGTATTACGGTTTACCGTGCGGCAACTTCACAAATGGCTCCTTCCGCAACAACACGGCCCATTCATCCCTTGCCGGCCTGTGGTTTCAAGCCAGTCCCGAGGCACTCATCCAGGGTTGTGCACAGTTGACGAACTTCACCACATACATGAACTGGGGTAAGTGCAAGGCTGAGCATCGGCCAGCTGGTGAGGAAAGGCGATCATCAGCGTCCCAGTTTTACTCAATGTCTATGAAATGCCATAGGATGCTGCATGTTGCCACTTTAGGATGCTGCATGTTGTCATTCCTCTTGCCACTTTGCTTGACAGATTTCGGCATCATCTCCACACGTGGCGTTTCGACGGACATTGTCCTGAAGGACGTCAATATCCTGGACAACAAGCACGCGGGCATCCATCTAATGCGTTATGGTGAAATGACCGACAAGGGCTGGATGCGCTGGGACGGTGGCCTCCTTGTTGGCCAGTCGAGCAATGATGTCTGCTCTGCCTGCACGAAGCGAAGTGACCCTGGCTGCCACCCCAAATTGTCCACCCAGTCATTCAATCAGTACGACCCCTTCACACCAGCAGTTGGCCTGCAGTCGTCACAGTTTGCACTGGGATTTGCGGTGGGCCCCGAGAAGAAGCCGTACGACAAGCCTATGGGCTACTCACTAATCCATGTGAGTCATGGAAAGGTTGGGGCGACAACACTGCGCCTTCCTGTGCTTCACTCGCTAGGAATAGCTTTGGCAACGGCTTGGCACGGTGTTTCAGTTGTCTCAGGGCCAGACTGTCTGATGCCTATGGCTTCTCAGGCAAACCCCTTCACTAACCACGGACCTCAAACCACAGGGCATGTTCAACATCAGCGGTATCACCTTGGCGGACTTTCTGGGCCCCGCGGGCTGCGGAGGCTCACAAAGCGGCACTTATGCGTTGGCGAACCAGCCTAAGGCGCCAGAAGCTTTCTATCCGCACTATTTCTCCAAAATTAACGTCCAAAACGTCGGCATCGGGTAAGTCGGATGGCAAACCGGACTCTAGCGGACTTTGCTTGGCCTGTGGATTTCGGTAGTTGCAGTAATTGCAACAGGCAAGCTTACACCCTGAACTATAGCCCCACCAGCTATGCACACACGGAACGCATGGCAACATCCATAAGAACGCCGCCTTGGCCCCATGCCCCCTACCTGCCCTTCACCCATGACCCATCTCTCTGCAGGGTGAGCCAGGGAATGTTTTATCACACCCCGCCCGACCCTGACTGGCGCAACGAGGCGGACTGTGGAGAGGCGGCCTATACGCGGCCCGACGGCTCCCAGATCATGCTTAACTGTGCCGGTCCGGCACACGCCTACTGGCGGGATCTGGATGGCTCACTTACCGGCACCGTCAGCACCACCGCAGGCATCTTCACGTCCAAACGCGTGTTCCCAATGGATCAGGGCTCACCCGTGCTGCCTGGGGCATGCACATACTCTGCGTATCAGGATTCGTATCAGTGCGTCGTTAACTCGACCTCATACATAGCGGAGACCGGCCTAGATCCGAGATACAAGCCTAACCCTGTGCCAGCAGATGGCATTTGGGGCGACCCGCAGATGCTAGTGCTCGAGAGCCGTGACAAAGACACTGAGGACCGCAACTTTGGCCCTGTATTCTTCAACGTGTCTGGCTCAATCGACCTGGTGACGGCAGCCATGGATCATGGCTGGTGCTTTGCGTACACATGTCAGAAGCGGCTGTCAACCTTCTGGACCTACGTGCCAACTGGGCAGACAGTGTACATCAACTTTACCGGCACACCTTCGCAGAACTTCCGCATCTGGTTTCCCTACGCAGACCCGGACAAGGAAATTGTCTTGGTTATCAATATGCTCTACACCCTTAACCGTCGCTTCACCTGGCTGCCGCCTGGTAATGGCAACACCACGGGCCGAGTGATGCCATGGGACAAGCCTATAAGAATTGGTGATGGCACACCTCACGGGTCGTACTTCTGGGACCAAGATAACACGCTGCTGTATGTGAAGATCAAGGGTGGCATGACGGTTGAGACACGCACTGAGAGCGCTGTGATGGTGAGTGGGGCCCAGGACATGCTGTGGGGCATGCTGGATCACAGGGTAGCAGGTTGTGTACACCAGGGCTGGCTCTCGCTTTTGCTGGATTGCACCTGGCTAGGTTGGGTGCTAGGCAGGTAAGTTATATCACTTCATGCAAATGTAGTCCTCGAGATTTGCCTGGGTCGGGAGGATGCAACGGGTACAATGGGTTTCACTGCTGCAGTGCGGCAGCCATGGAGCAGCCTGCAGCCTGACTGGTTCTAACGACTGGGTCCGCAAATGATGATGTTATGTATCGCAGGTTTCACAGTCTTTCGCTGTAACGATTGACAACTTCTACGCACAGCAGGCGGTCTTCCTGAAGAACCTCGCAGCTGTAATGGGTATTGATATGAACCGTCTCTATGTGGCGAAGATTGTGGCCGGCTCCGTAAGCGCCACGATTGGTGTTGAGCCCGATAAGTCCATTCCCGTCGACGCGCTGCCGGAGAACTCAGTGTCGGCCGCTGTGGATCCCACTGACCCTGTCGTCACTAACCCAGCAGCCGCCGCAGTCACCTCCACCACATCATCATCCACATCACCACCGCCCCCACCACCATTGACCTCATCCTCGGCTGTACTTGCCGACTTGACTGCAGCATACAATGCTTTTGTAGCAGCGGTCACGGATCCAAATGCAAGCAGCAACCTTGGCTTTCAGCCCATTGGCGTGCCGACAGCAGACTGGAGCAATGTCGGAGTTGCTGCTTCACCCCCTCCGCCGCTTATGTCTTCCGGGGCCAATTCACCGTCGGGTGGTGTCACCCTCAGTCCACCACCACCGCTCATTTTACCCAACACGGAGGCTGCACCAGCCGGTGGCGGTAGCGGTGGAAGCAGTACTGGTAGCGGTGGAAGCAGTACTGGTAGCGGTGGAAGCAGTATAGGTAGCGGTGGAAGCAGCAGCAACACTGGAAGCGGGAGCAACAATAGGGGCTGGGCCCTTAGCTCCGCGGCTGTTGTGGGCATTGCAGTCGGCATGGTTGGAGGTTGTATTTTCGTAGCAGCAGTTGTGGCTGTCATTGTGGTTCGGCGTCATGCTAAGCGGCCCCGGCCCGTGTTGCCACGTGGTTCACTGAGTACCGGTGAGGTCAGCAGCTCCATGTCGCCAGCTCCAGCGGCCGGCCGGCCTGGCAGTGCGAATACACGCCAGGCCTTCGTGTTGACCAACCCCGCCTATGAGACGCCTGGAGAGCGTGCCGCAGCTTTACGCGTCAGCCGCACTGCGGTACCCGTGCAGGAGTCGGAGGAGAACCCCACTTCGCCGCGTGCCAGCGTGTTGGCCGCCGGACCAACCCCCCTGAGCCCAGCGCAGTTTATCGGTCCACTCACCTCCACTGCCCGTATGCCACATAGCAGCCTACCGCTTGTTCCACCAGGTGCACAGTCGGGCGCAGTCGACGCTGTGGAAGGGGAGGCCATGTTGGCCCCGGATGCATCTGTCAGTGTGGCAGCCGCTGCCAGTGGCGCCATCGCGACCACTGCCAGTGGCTCAGTTGGTGGCTCGCGCTCACCAGCACAGCTGACACCTGGCCAGCCAACCACCCGCCGCCCTTCAGACACCACCATGAAGTATGCACCGAACATGGCCACTGGCAGCACTGTCTGGGATGCGGACAGCGCGGAGATTGAGCAATTGCCAGATCACGATCAAACCAAGGCCGCCGCCGCCGCTGCTGGTAGCGGACCTGTCAGTCCTAAGGTTGCTGTGGAGGCTGCAGCGACCAGTGTGGGTGCCGGTGCTCCTGCTAGCGGCACGCCTGTTGAGACCTTGAACCGCTCCATGGGCGTGTCTGAATCGATGTCGCCGCGCGTCAAGTCTGTTGGTGGCAGTAACGACATTCGGGCGGGTGCAGAGCAGATGTCTGGTAATGGCGATGAGGGCAGAAAGCGTGCAGCTGCCATGGAGCCTCTGGATCCTCAGCAGCAGAGGCCTGGCAGTGGCCGCCAGACAGAGCAGGCACCAGTCCTGATGCTGCCGGGCGGTATGATGGAATATGTGGCCACGGCGTCGCTGCTGCGTAGTGAGGTGGCTTCACTAATGGTGGCGGGTGGCGAGGCTGGCCCTGCAGTGACAGGTACTGGGGAGTCGGACAGCGCGAACACACCAAAGGCGCGCACGCCTGCTGGCTTGCAAAGCGACAGCATGCGCCGCCGGGAGCATTCCTGAAATTGCTGGGATGGGCCAAGGATTTAGGATGGGACGCCGTCCATCATGGACCAGGCTTGGCCAATACTGGAATGAGAGTGACGTTCATACTCATTTCCAGATTTATAACCGTTTTTTGCATTCGGTTTTTGGCATTGTGGAAGGCAGGCTCATGTTAACTGAGTATATTGGCTTTGGACCCACGCGGGTCGTCGCCAATCCGTTGGCGTCCGTTTGGAGTATATGCGCTTCGAAGGAGACGTTGCTCGGTTGATTAGCTCGATTTAGGAGAGGGAGCTGTCATGTCTGTGTGTAGTTTCCTATGTGTCAGATGCATATGTGTCACATGCGCATGCGGCGTGACATGATGCATGATCCTCCATCGCCGGTCTCGCACACACACGAAGACGAGAGGTCTTATCTCGACAATTGCTCATGGAGAGGAACTGCCCGGAACTGTCTAACTATTTTACTTTCGTATTTGCGACGGTTGAGACATGCTCTCTGCACATTGGCCATTGCCAATCAGGACTCCCATCAGGATAGGCGCAAGCAGCAGGTTGCTTCATGCCGCGGCGGTGCAGTCTTTTCGCCTCATTGATGCTGCGTGCATACAAACGCGAAATTGGCCTGCCTCCACCTGAGCGGGGATTCCAACGGAATGACTTGGGATATGGGATCTGAATCTTTTTAGCGGGGTCTGTAAGGGTCAGCGGACATATTGCAGGAGGTTATGCCTTGGACAGCAGGTGTTGATGTTTGTTGTTTAAAGGGGCTGGTAGGGTTAGATACGTAGCTTTTCTTGTTGCTTGGTCAAGAAGAAAAGCATGGCATTGGTTGGACTTTGATAATCATTCATTTCCAAAAGCTCACAGCAAGGGTGAGTATTGGAGTGTTGCTTCACTGGGGTAGTACTCTCTGTTCACTGGATAGTTCGGCGTCCGGAATCATATGCACTTACAGATCTCCGCTCCCAACGCTGTGTGTTTCCAAGCAACTAGCCCCTCCCGGCACGCATTGCATCGCGCTTTATATTGCTGCCCGCCTGCACCACTTGCTGGTGCCCTTTCGCTGCTCTTGTAGTGGATAGGCCTTGCGCCTTTTCCCCGGAGCTCACGCCGCTTTGCTTAGTGTTCACTATGAGTACGTTACTGAACTAAACATTTAGTTTAATCGACCTGCGCACTATAGCGCGCACACACAGATCTGGTCCTCGTGAACTTCAAATGTTGGGCTTGAACAATTGCTCGTGACGGCAAGCCCGGCATGTCTGAGGGGCGCCGCTGCGGCTTTGCTGAAGGTACCAACGTTTCTATTTATTACACGCTAAGGGTTCCCGCTGCAATACTGCGGGGCTTGAGCAATGGCCTCTATCGGTTTGCTGTGCTTGTTAAGTTTTTTTATTGGTTGCGACGAAATGTGCTATCCGTTCATGCGTGCGTTTTTGCACATCCGTTCATGCTGACATGTACATATGTGTCTTTACGCGTGGTGGCATCGGCTGAAGATAGGGTCGCTTGCAATGGCGACTTCCCAGATAATGCTCATGCAGGTGTTTCGGCCCGCGCCTGGCCCAGCGAAAGCGCCATAGGCATGTCACTGCCGGCCAACTAACGACGGCCAATATTGTATGTAATCCGGTTACCGTCTTGCTTTGTCCGGCCAGTTAACAAACATGCCGGTGCACCGGTAGTGAGCATGCTCAGGCTAATGGCCGGTGCACCGGTAAATTACGTGTTCAGCTTGCTCCACCGTGCTCAAGGCCTAATCGATTAGAGGCATCGAACATGCCGGTGCACATGTAGTGAGCATGCTCAGGTTAATGCCTGGTGTGTGTGGTTGTTATAGTGGGCCCCAGACTCGTGAAGAGTAGAGCCTGAGGCCCAGCACGATCAGAGCAGTCAAGACACTCGCCCAGACCAGACAACGCAGGCCACCCAGACAACAGAAAGCGAACCCAAAGGGTAAGCTCAGAAGCCCACGATCACCTAAGTTTGCTATTGAACTCCCTAGCTAGCGAAAGGCTGCGGACCTCCATTAGTGTTGTATCACATCTTAAGAACCGATCGGCAGATGCTAGATCCCGTGATACCCAGGATACTTCAATTAACCCTCCTCCAGAGTTGAAGGAGTCCTCGACCGTCCGTCTCTTAGGGCACTTGTGTGATGTCAGTAACCACAGGACACCAGCGGCAGCAGGCCGGATTGAGAGTCGACCCCAGGTCGGGTTTGGGATACCGAGTCTCGATACCAATTTGTTGTATCACGTCTTATCGCAGGAAAAGAACCGATCGGCGGATGTTTGATCCCGTGATACCCAGAATACTACAACTAGAAGGCCCACCAATAAATATTGGCAGGTATTTGCACGTTGTTACTAGATGATGTCTTTGCCCCAAAAGCCCCAAAAATGAAAGGAGCCGAAATAAGGGAGCGGATGAGCTAATGGATAATCGTCCATCGGTGCCCCTCTTGTGAACGAACAATTATCCGACACAATTCGCAAGAGGTGATGTGACCCTACCTTTTCCATGGAACTTCCAGAGCTGTAAAACCCCGAAGGCGGGCTCGACGGGCCCCAGAAAGAGGTGAAAGTTGCATTTTATTTAAGGTCTCAGAATTTAAAAGAGGAGTATTATGAACGTAATTGCTAATTCCTCAGTTACAACGCAGGTTACAACCATATTTCTCTTAAATCCTTCGAGGTGATTACCTTCGTTTGGGTCTTCAGTAAATTGTAGCTTAGATGCGGCAGGAGCAAAGCGAGTAGAGCCTCTAAGCTAGGTTATGTACGGCAGCCGTATGGCTTGCTGAGATTTCGAATTTACTATTTCAGCTGACAACTCCATAGTTCCGGCATTCTGCCTACACTATTGGAGCTTATTATTGTTGCTCTCACTTCCCTTCCCCCGCCCTTAGTGTCCCTCGTTTACAAGCGGCAGGCTCGGCCCAGTTGGAGACCTGGGATTAGGCAGCCCCCTCGGAGTGCCAGACGCACAGCTGTACAGTGATTACCGCACGGCAAAAAAGTGCCTTTAGAGTATCGCTGTGCGCTAGGAATGTCGCCTGGCAAGCCCCGCTGGCCAGGATGTGGTTCGTGTGTTGCTGACACTTCAGGTTTGCCCTCGGGGCGGGTGACCAATGGACGCAGTTATTAATGCTGCGTTTAGTTGTCTAGTGCTGTGTGTCAGTTTTTCGGCCGTGCCGGTGTGGCCGCGCTGGACAGCGCTGCGTGCGCTCAGACCGCGCCATGTGGCGCTAGACCGCGCTTCGGTGCACATGCGCCCTGGTGCTCCGAGAGCAGCAGTAGTACTGCAGTAGTGTAAGGCCCTTGGCAGCCCCGGTTTTGCCTCGTCCTGTCCTATCCGGCACCCTGAACGCAACCGTACAGCAAGCCATGAAGGCTATAGGACATAATGCTATATTATCACCAAGGTTGATATGGGAGCAGTGCAAGGGTTAGTCGTTTTGGATTCCAGGTACTGGGAGATGAAGGTGGACAGGGTCGATGTAGGCGGGACCATCCAGACACACTCGCCATCGACTTGGGCCGACAGAAAGGAGCGAGACGGTGAGAAGAAGGGAACGACGTGGGTGTTGATACCGAAGTCGTCGCAGCAGGCGTCAACGGTGAAGGGGCCATACTGTGAGTCAAGATCGAGGAAGACGGTGCATGAAAGCATCCAGTCGCTGTCCACCCGGTGCGCTTCCGCCGTGGAGGCTGCTGCAACACGAGCATGCATACAACCTACATGGCGGGCAGGCTTACTGGCGATCTGGGTTAGGCGCAAAACATTGAACGGCGGCGGCGGCAGGGTGTCAGACTCGGCTGACCGTTGCACAGCAAAACGCACCGGCATGCTGTGGCTAACCTGTTCTGCTGGTGGTGGCTTAAAGGCCACGTTAACGGGGATGGGGAGAGCGGTGGCGGGTTGGGTCAGCGCGGCGGTGCTGGTCATCATGGCGAGGGTGGGGGCTGTCTGAACGGGAGGGAAAGGTGTGTCCGCGGTCGTTGTCCTGACAATGGTGGGTGGAGTTGTCAGTGTGAGCCGGGGAGCGGGAGGGGGAGCGGGAAGGAGAGCGGCTTGCGGTTCGGGAGGTGGTGGAGCGAAAGGGTGAGTGGTCGGTGGGGACGTTGATGGTGCGGATGCCCTGCGGTAGCGAATGTGGTGAGCGGTGAGCGGCATCACGCTCCATTGAAATGGTGCACGCGAGGTCGATCACATCCTGTAGTCGTATGTAGGAACCCAGGTTGCATAAGCGCGAGAAGATCTCCTTCCTGAGGTCGTCCTGCAGTCCTCGTGCGAAGAAGAGGACGTGGTCTTTCTCGTGGCGGTACGGCAGGTCGGCCATAAGGTGTTTGAATTCCGCAATGTAACATTGTAAAGAGTTTGGTCCAGAACCCTGCGCCAAGGCAAACATAGCAAGCTGCGTTTGAGAGGGTCCCGTGGTGGGGACGGGAGCCATCAGAGGATGACGGAGACGAAGATGATGAAGACGACGATGACGAAGACGACGACGATGTCGAAGATGATGATGACGAAGATGACCAGCAAAGCAAAGCGAAGCAAAGCGAAGCGAAGCGATGACGACGAAGACGAAGGCGGAGCGAAGCGTATAGGCCGGATCGTCTAGATCGATACCAACTGAAAGGGAATAGGCTCCGTTTCTCGTTGGGATGTCACAAATGTTACAACGAGGGCCGAGCGACGTAAGCCTGCTAATCCTGCACAAGATGTAATAACGATGACATAACAATCTAAACAACACAACGAGTTAAATAGTTATCCAGAGCCTAGGCGGCGCCGGAAGGTCGTACATTATCCATATTCCAAATGCTTGTCCACGAGTAAAGTTAACGACTTAACAACTAACGAGAAAACCTAACAGATATAATATAAAATATATACTGGTTTCTTCACCATACAATAAATGTAATGAAATACCGTACTGCTACGAATGTTTCGCGCCACACCTTTCGTTTTGGGCCACGAAGTGTGTCACAGTGGAAAAAGCTCTAT